GACAAAACCCTGTTAAATTTCTCGCCGAGCGTCGCAATGCCAACCAAACCAAAAAATATATAGATAGACACAAAGCTGCCACTAGACACGACCCTGGAAAACGGCGTCGAGCATCGCGATGTCTGTCGTCCCGACAACGATTGCCATTTTGCAAGGCCCTGGAAGAACGATGCACATAGTCCAGACTCCTATAAACGAAACTCCAAAATAATTTAAAATAAAAACGAGCTGCCCAGGGAAGATCTACGAAACTGTCACACGTCGATTTCTTAACTTCCGTTCCCGACTGATTGTGAAGCATTAGCTCAGTCAAAATAGTATTTTATTTTTTATTTAGTGTTCTGTCTGACGACAGGTCCATATGAACAGGATCCTTCCATCCTTTTCTCGGACTGGGACCTGTTCATATACGTTCTTGGCAGATGATCCAGAAGGGGTTTGCCATTGCCTTCTTCTGTGTGTGAATGGAGTAATTGTTGGGATGCCACAGAGAAACCGGGGAAGCCCCCGGAGGAAAACTCCGTGGTGCCTAGACCACGGCCTTGCCCAACACAAGTTAAAAATTCGGGCACCCCCGGGAATCGAACCCGAGACCCCAGGATTACAAGGCCAGCGTTCTAACCGCTAGACCACCGTGGCCCTGATAAATTCGTAGGACTGCCATTTTTTAAAACAAGATTTATATTTTTTAGACCGACAACGCTTAATTGGTTGTTACTGTGACTTCTGTAGTTGTTGTAACTCCCGTTGCCATGGAATCTCGTAATTGGCTATCGATGTATGCTTCCGGCATCAAGTTGCTCTTATCAGAATGTATTTTGTGCTTCCTGACTTCAGACAGCTATTAGTTTCATTATATTCGCTGCAGAGACAGCTGGCTTCGCTTATCTCTTGCGTGTTTTAGACGAGCAAGGATTTTGATGGCGGTGTATCTGTCCACGTACAGTGGTGAATCTCCAAAACTACTTTATAATTAAATGCTCTACAGTGAACTGCGTGGAATTCATTTTTGGCTTTATCGATCTATGTTATGCGAGAATCAAAAACAATTTTATCGAAAGAGACAGACATTGACTTAAGTTGAAGGCGTTTAGAACAGTTTTCTGAGTAATATATTTTAACTTAAGACAGAAACTGAGAGTGGAAGACTGAGAAAATTACATAATTAATAACTTTGTAACTTAAGGCCTAGACTTTCTTTTACATTTTAGTGGTGTTTTAAAATCAAGAGGGACGGAATTTGTGATGTATGTGGCACGCTTAGAAAATACACGAAATTTATAAGAAATTCTAGTAGGAAAACCTAAAGGCTAGAAACTGTTCAGGAGACCTTGACGTAGTTTGGCAGCCAGCATTAAAATTAATCTTAATTACACTAAATTCTGGTGTGTTCTTAATTCATATAGCAGATTTTTATAAAAAACGATAATGAATCTTCCGTTTTCATATGAGCGATCGTGAGTTACTTATAGCTTTATTATATAACATGAAGACCGTCAGGTTGAAGGTACTCCGAAATAAAAATATTCCCCTTTGATTTCATATCTGTGACCAGGAAAGCAAATCCCACTCCGAAATAAAAATATTCCCCTTTGAGTTCATATCTGTGATCAGGAAAGCAAATCCATTCTCTTTAATTTCAGGCCAGTTTAATCCACCACTCCATTATGTTTTCATATTACCTATTGTTTTGTGGTTTCGCAACTGAAATTTTGTACGTAGACTAGAAAACTGTAAGTTTTTAACTTTGACTTCGTTAGTACTTTTATGTCAAACAACCACATCAGTGGTTGTTGATCGGATTTTGACTGTAAGTTTTTAACTTTGACTTCGTTTTTTATGTCAAACAAGCACAGCAGTGGTTGTTGATCGGATTTTCTTTTATTACTGAATCTGTTTTTGTTCTAGACAAGCTGTACTTTAGTGGATACATGCAGTTAATTTCTGTTTGGTATGTTTTATCCTGGGTACAGTCTTTACAATTTTACGTATATGATTCTGTTATACATACCACATATGTGAAAAACTACATACACAAATTTTCTCAGCAAAATTAGCCCCCATAGCAGGGAGTCTTGTCTAAATTATTTATTTGCAGAATAATACGCCTACACGTATTCCGAGTGTCCTGATACACATCTGTATTTCCAGGCTCTTGATAACTAATTATACAGGGAGTTTCACTTATCTTGGAACCCACCTACTAGCATGCGACGGCTACGTTCCGCGCTGTGACACTGATTCCCCTGTAGTGTCCTCTGTTCTGTTGCTGTGGCATGCTGTCATGGCGGGTTCCACATAAAGTGGCACACCCTGTATTTGTAGACGATTATCTGGTTTACATGATGAGTTCTGTTGCAGACGAGTTCTGTGAGGAGTTCCCGCACAATCTGATTCCTACCCCGGGCTACTGGATCGAGTGCTCGCGTCAGAAGATCGCTTCAGACACCATCTGGGACGAGTCGGAGTCTGACCACGAGATACACGAGGAGGAAGAAGAAGAAGATGAAGAGGGAGGTGGGAATCGAACCCGGGACCGTGAGGATGATGGTGGTGGTGTGGGGGCGGACGATGGGGCGGGAGAGGGACCGTCGGGGACGGGGCGCGGGGACGAGTGTCTCTTGGAGGACGACGAAGACGACGAGGAACAGCCGAAAAAGAAGACGGCGATCGAAGAGCAGTGGGAGAAGAATCAGGCATTCGAACTCACATCCGTGGAGCAGGAAACTTACGAGAAGTATTTCTACGGCACTGAGCACTGGAATTACTTCACCAACGACGAGGATCTCGGTCCGGTGATACTGAGCATCAAGCAGGAGACGCTGAATTGCAGGGACCAGTTTCGGTGAGTACACAGTTATTTTAATTCTTTAGTGTTGGTAGCATCGTCCAATGCCTTGGTAGTGATGTTTCATGTCTGCCTGCATCTGCGGTGTAACTTTTAAAATTTGGTAGCAGTAATGAAGTGTTTCTTTATTGACGTGATTTTTGCGGCAGACGAGTGCTATCGGAATGCCCTTCCCGAACTCCGTTTGGAGTACGTCTCATTTCCATTTTGTTTCGTCTTTCTGTCTCTCCGCACGGCCTCGTTCTCTTGTCTTCTCTTGTTTATAGAACTGAAGATTTATGAATTCGTGTTGCAAGAGACGGTGTAATTTTAATGTACTTGAGCAGCTCTTCAGGGACGAAATGTGTTGTGCAATGAAGACCCCACTCGTTCTAAAATAGAAGCGACGCTCATCAGCGGGGTGAGGTTTTAGTGAAATTGCGGTTCGCTTGCGACATCAATTTATCACTGCTAGAGATTAGGGTGGCAGCACTGGAATTGAAGGAACAAGTAAGCTCGATGGAACAAAAGATAGCATCGGGGCTGGGGGCGGGGGGGGGGCATTGAAATGCGATGATGTCCTGCTGTCCAAACGGCGCTAGAAAACATCTGTGTTAAAAATTATTTGGTAGGAACTGCTCACTTTATGAAAGTACTCATATCTCTGTGCATTCTATATCAATTAAACTTAATCTGTGCTTAGCACTCTTCAACATTCTGTTGAAACGTCCTGTAGGTTTCAACTCAATCTGTCTTTGCACAAAATAGGCGCATCGGCTACTCTGGCTATTAACGTCAGCTTTCCACATAGGATTTCATAAACACTTATGATTACTATTCAGATTCTATTCATGCGAAGTCTTGTAATATGAATCAAAAAATTTTTTAAAGAAATTTCTGGAGCCTTCTGCCCACCATTTTGCCCGTTTAAGAATAAATAAACAATTGATATTTAGTTTCTGTTTGAGTTGAATTCATGTATAAATACAAGTTAGTAACAAACAGGTAGAAGTGTTATTCAAGCCGTTTTACGTTGTGACTGTGGCCTAATTAAATGTTTCTCGTCACTTTTTCAACATAACTTTAAATATTTGCTCATGGGAGAACATAGATGGAGGTCGCTCTCGAAATCTGAAAGTTACAACTTTCACGTCTCGACTTCTTCCTTTGAGCTCAGAGCTGCTTTTAGACGTTGAGGTGTCGCAGTCACAAACTCTTGATTGTAGGATGATGAGGTGACTAGTGTATCACGACTGCTTCTGTTGTTTGCTCATGGAGACTGATAAAAACCTCTAAAAATTCGCCATTTTTTACACTGATCGAAATTCGAATTAGGTGCCGTTTAAATATAACACTTAGGTGTCCTGCTCACTTTTGAAGGAATATTAGTTATATTTCTGGGCAGAATCTATAAGTTTTGTTCATTTATTTGTGTTTGTCTTCATCCACGTTTCTCCAACGCCTGTGTCTTTATTTTTATTACAGTTTTAAATATCTATTTAATTTTCGCTTTTTAGTTTTGATGGTGTGTTTTAGTTTTTCCCATGACTGAAGCCCTGCGTCTTTCGTTTCCTTTGCGCCAAAAATAACAGGAATCCAGAAGTGCCGAAAACATTCCGTTTTAAAGTCTGAAATTTATTATACTGTCACTTACCGAATTCTCTTAGATTGAGTGTTAAAAATGTATGACACTTCTTTGAGAAAATGTTTCGGTGTGTTTGGAAAACATCTTAGCCGACGGTATGAACTGTACTTTGACTTTGAACTGAAATTGTCCCTAGTCTCGTCGTAAAGTTTCAGACCATAAAAGGAAGTCCATCTTTCCAGCTGAAGTACTTCCAAGGTTTCGTATACTCTCAGCCATGAAAGTTTGTAGCTTGTAAATATATAGCCCAGACGTGACGGCGACAGTTTCTTATTTCTGAAAGTGACGTATTCCGCGCGCCAACACCGCCCGAGAAGTTATTGAAGGTGGTGGTTCTTTGAGTTTCCGAGAACCCTACATCTCGGATAAATGACCAATTGCCACGTACAGACATACATTCCGTGTTGTCGTCAGTAGAGAGACCAATAGTAAATACATTTCACTTGTTTCCAACCTTTCTGTAAATAAAAAAATTGCATGCGAGAAAGTATAAAAAAAAAAAAAAATTGCATGCGAGAAAGTTTGCGGTTTACAATTTATTTATTTTGGCGCAGAGAACAATTAAAATAACTCACATTAATATCCTTGAGGACAAATAAGAGGAGATGGCTTTGCGTTCAAAATAAGGCACAAACCATTTTTATAGGCCCACTCTGTACTTCTCTGTTAGCCGTGCTGATGCAGTAACTTCTCCGGTAGACCTGTGTGGCAGGTAGTCTGATCGGATCCGTGCAGGCGTACCGAAATTTCTCCTTGTTTGCACGTAATCTGAGAAGAGATGCAAGTCACGTGTTCGGTTGAGTTCACACAGCGCATCCGTTTACGTACCATCGCAGATATGACAGAGGTAGCCCAGAGAAAGGACAGAAATTTGCCAGACATGCAGTACTTTACAACGAATCAAGTTTACTGTCGTGGCTACGTTCCGAAACAGTAATTAATTCTATTATTTCTCATTATAAAATAAAAGTGTGCAATAGTCTCCCTTCTCCAATTAGGCCGACAGAATTTATCTTGGTTCAAATACTACTTTTGCACGTATCATGTGTGTTAGGCGTGTAGTATTCATGTTAAAGTTGTTACGCTATGCGCCATGTAGGCGCTGAGGGCGAGAGATGTATAGCTCCTTCTCATTCTCAATCTCGGTACCAGATGGGATGAATGGTCAGCGTTACACCCCGGCCTCGCCTTGCGCTAGTGAAATGATCTCGGTACCCATTAGACAGGATGGTGCGTGGTCTGGACGCGGTGTTTAATATTTTCTAGGAATCTTTTATTACCTGCAATTATACAAATACACTAATCACTAGATTGCATTTCAATCTGTTGCCCGCCTCGCCACATTTATTGGAGCATTTTAAGGAAAGTAATCATAATAAGCGTTCCTAATAACTTGTTTTGGATGTTCCTGTAGACATTTGCACTGAAATCCAGGAACACCACGTGCAGTTAATCAGGTGTATAGACGGCGCTGTCAGTGGCAAGATGCACGTTGTTTCAGTAAGACAATGCGCGCTAACAAAGCTCCATTTTCGCAGCACACATGTCGTGTTCATGCTCTCCACTCTGACAGGCAGATGTATCTGATGTTCGTTACCACCGGCAACACAAATGGGAATAAACATCATTTGAGATTCTCACTGTTATATTGTCGATTTTGTCTCCTGGATAGTAACTCCTTATATTTTTTTTTTATATGATTCATGTTGATTTTCCATATGTGAACGATGATAGTACACCAAACCCACCTGTTCTTCAATCCCTCAGTGTGGTAAGTCTATGCACCACCTGCTTTAACATTCTCCAACCTCCTCTTTCCCACGGTGTGTATTTAATCAGCGACCGAGATTTCACTTTTTCACAACTGCAAGTCATAAGATGATTTCCTTCAGGGTTGCTGCGCCGTGTAGTCTGGCAGAAGTTTACCGACGTTTCAGCGGTGCCTGCTGCCTTCATCATCGGGGTTATTACAACACGTATGAACAACCCACGAAACAGCCCCCGTTCATAACCAGTGATTATTTCCGTGAACAGCATTAACCAACTGGTCCTTATATGCTTAAGATTTTTCTACCAGAATTGTGTACTCATTTCGTATCTCTCCCATGCGTGCTACATGTCTGCACATCTTGTCTTCTTCGATTTGATTGCCGTAGCAGTGATAGTAGTAAATACTAAGTATATTAATTGGATTTCGGTACGCTCCAATTTCTGGTGTGATCAACTTCTTGGAACAGCTAATCCCAAGGTGTTAAGAACGCGTGTGTGGATATTCTGTTCATTCCTCTACACTTGTAATCCAATTAACAAGATCTGCGATGCCTACGCACCTTTAAATCATTTGTCTGCCTTGAGACCGGCAGCCAACCTAACCTGTACAATAACTACGCAAGAATTATTGCGTGGGTGTAACGCGTTTACACGTGGGAGGAAGATGAACTCTTTGCGAGTATTTATTAGAACACTTTGAATATAAATACGTACTTGGGAGACCTAGTCGTAGATGGGAGGGTAATATTGGAATGGATCCAGCTTATCCGTGATGCAGTTCGGTATCGAGCTCTTGTGAACACGGTAATGAATCAGCGGATTCCGTAAAAGGCCAAACGAGAGCCTGTCAGCTTCCGATAAAGGATGTTGATCAAAGACGGTTGCTTATTGTTCCATCTTTATGCGTGATTTGAGTTGCTAGTGACTTCCAGAAAATCAAACACGTAAGTTTTCAACACATCTCAGAGTGTTAATGTGATTATACTTATCGAAGCATGGAAAACCTTTTATACCAGATTTTTAGGTACAATCATGATATGTCATACCGCATTGCTATTAAAGGGAAGAGAAGATGCGTGTTTCGTATCTTCGTTATTTTACTTTATAGTCTATTCTAGACGGGAACGGGAAAAGTTTCAAGGCAGCAAACAAAATTATGTTTGTATTTCATATCAGAATTACGCATTGTTTCAGAACGTGCTCAGTGCACAAACGCATTAAGATGTTTTATACGCGTACAGAACTTGGCCGCTCAAACTTATGGCGTTTCACAAGATGTTGAAGATACTTGGGCCGAATAGAGGGGCGATATTAAGCAGACGTAAACATCTGCTTAAGCAGGAGCGTTGTGAACAGTAATCTTATTCAGATATTAATATCTTGGTCCAATGAAGGAAGGCGAGATGGTTTGGACATGTGGACATTTCTCGACATTGATAATTGCTTGCAAAATATTGGCTGGAAACGTGAAGAAACGATTTTGGAGATCTATAAGTGAAAGGTAAAAAGTAAAGTAAAGTTTGTCTCACTACACGCCATGTAGGCGCTTGGGGGGAGTGGCGGTATAGCTCCTCTCTTCCATGACCTCGGCACTAGATGGGGGTGAGTGGTCAGCATCACGCCCGGCCGGCTTTACCCCCGGGAAAGGACCACGGTACCCATTGTAGAGGAGGCTGGGTGGGCCCCAGAGCCGGTCTGGACGCAGAGTCTAGAGGAAAAATCCTCTGCCCCCGTCGGGGATCGAACCCCGGTCGTCCAGCCCGTAGCTAGTCAATAGGATGCTTTAAATGGATCTTGAGTGTAAGGGTGCGAATCGGATTTATCTGTCTCAGGGCAGAGACCAGTGGCGGACTGTTGTGAATATGATAATGAACCTCCTGTGTTCTGTAAAAGGGAGTGTGTTTCAGTTTCTGAATAATAACTTTGAGTCATACGTCCTCTGTAAGCTACTGTGTGCTTCAGACCTATTGTAAATGCCTGTACTTTATGAGAATGAGACGTATAGAACTTGGATGCAACATTCGGTTAACCACAGGCTCATTCGGTGTCTGATAGAATAAAACTAATCTGTGATGTCATGTGAAACGTTCTGCCTGATGATTCTATTCATTCCTGTCGTCCAGTTCGTATCCTCGTTAATATTGCATCATAACTTGCATTGATTGTCGTGTTAGTCCCCAGACTTTCGTTGGTTGTTACTGCATCAGACAGAGGAGTCCGTGTTGATGAAAACACATCCAGTAGCACGCCTTGTCAGAGTCCCACTCGGAGACCGTAGGCGGCCTTGGAAGTCGATTCCAAATAGCAAGCAATCGATAATGACAGTCTGTCTCCACAGTTAATAGAACTCGGATGGGACCATTTTTACAAGAGACCGCCACTGAACGTTATTCTGGTCCATATCATTCCACTACGTATAGTCACACCATATGTCATTAAGATCCGTTTCAATATTATCCTGTCTAAAACTGTACCCCTTAGGTTTTATCTTCTGTTCACTTTAAGATTCAAGTGATTAAACTGGTTTTAATTTTTCATCGCTATGATTTTGATTTGTCAATATTATTCCCAAACTTTTGACTTGGCTGCATTTTGAGTGATTCGTCGTTTAACTTTTTATGCCTGTTATTATATTGTCCCGTATTGATAACGGGGCATTAATATATTCCTGTTTTTCTTCGTACAGAATTTGGTCAGAAACTAGAAAGGAAGAGGTCTTTTTGAAAAGCTATGCCTAGATGTATTTGTATAGCTTAAGGAAATTTCGGGGGCGGATATGCTGTACATTCTGTTGACTGAGGACTGAGCTGGATCTTGTGAAGAAGGTAATGAACATTTGTGTTCCATATTTTATTATTTAGTGTTCTGTCTGACGACAGGTCCATATGAACAGGATCCTTCCATCCTTTTCACGGACTGGGACCTGTTCATATACGTTCTTGGCAGATGATCCAGAAGTGGTTTGCCATTGCCTTCTTCTGTGTGTGAATGGAGTAATTGTTGGGATGCCACGGAGGAAAACTCCGTGTTGCCTAGACCACGGCCTTGCCCAACACAAGTTATAAATTCGGGCACCGCCGGGAATCGAACCCGAGACCCCAGGATTACAAGGCCAGCGTTCTAACCGCTAGACCACCGTGGTTTGTGTTCCATATAAGGCGTTACAATTCTTAACTGATCGACCATTAGCTTCTCCTGCATGTAGTCAGTTGCCTCCACGTCTTTTGACATCAGAATGTTATAAACACGAATACTTGACACTGCCGTCAGTTGATGTGTATTTTTTTTTCTATTGAACTGCTTGGATGACCTGTCATTGTCAGCTGAGGAAAAAAAATTGCTTTCGTTTAATTGCACCGGAAACAGACGACAGGACAGCTGTCATCCTCAGCGGTCTCTTATGCGCTTCGTTTCCAAACCCTTCCGTCATCATGACACACTCCTGCAGCGATAGCATTTGTTTTAAAGCCATTTTTATAGTTTCGGTCAGTGGCGTCGGTTTGAATTGCCGAGTAGCGTCAAGGATTAAAGGAGAGGTCATTCGGGGAGGCGCGAAAAGACATAAAGAAAACATAACTAAATCTTGGTGAGTTTTACTGTATTTAAAGACGCTGTATCATCATTAGGACACTTTAAAGCTAATAAGCTTGTACCAGGACACTAGTCGGTGCTTATAGGTAACATTTATGTCAATTTAAAAATGATTCCACACCTAATTCTGGTGGATTTTAGGTTAGATCATCAGACGGAATGTTTAATATGCTTCGGACGGTCTGGGTCGTTGTGTCATTGTTTTGCATTCAACAGAAATATAAGACACGGATTAAAAATGACGTGTCTCTCGATAGCGTCGGTTCCATTGCAAATACGCACCGCCGTCCCGAAATCCAATGCTGTTGATGGTAGAAATTTGAAAAGTACAAACTGCCTTGTTGTCTACTGGCATTGGATCAAAATGTATAATTCGAGAAATTACTCTGAAAGGTCAAGGCAAGATATTTCTGACAAGAAGACGTATCAGATGAAGGAATTTCTTTCTTTCGGACGGTGTAGTCTACTGATTTCAACGATACAGTCTGTCATGCGAAGATTCAGGAAACGCCTGTCGACGTCTCATGCCGAGTGTAATCGAGCTGTAAGACCAAAGGATAAAACATTACAGTAAGACAATGTTCCGTGGCCTTGTCATTAGGATTTCATACAAATTTGTTATCAGCACTCACAAAAAAAAAACCGCTGTCCTGAAACGAACATCAGGCTGTTTGTAACCGTGACAAAGCGCCTGAAATGCTAGAGACATATATCTTGTTGAACATAGATTTATATTGTTACTGTGTACGGTTAATGGAAAATTTTTACGCGAGAAATACTTTTACAAGTCTTTCTTGGTGACACGATTCTTTTAAAATCTGGAACCTTCCGGTCTCCGCCCTTTTGTGCAGTTCCCGTGCTTAAGGGCACAAAGAACCCACTGGAACAATTTTTCCCGCGTCGTGTTGCGTGACTACCGGTCACGATGAAACCAGTGGCGGCTCGTGGCGCGGATTTAATATCTGCGGCTAATAGTGGAATTAATTTAGCCTTGTTGCGTGAACGATGGCAGCTTTTGCCATAATTGAGCAATAAATTTTAATCCGTTTCACCGTCTTCGATTATCATCCGAACATTTCTCTTCGGACTGCCTGAACTCCGCAATTCAAAAACTGAAACATGTTGTGTAAAAGATGTTCCAAAATGTAAA